CAGCAAAGTGTGATAGGCTGTAAAAACTGCAAGTGTCATTTTTCACACTGTCAAAGAATGTTTTTGAAAGGCTAGGGTGGTGTGAGACTTAGACCAGGGTTTCCATTGAGTTTATTAGTTTACCTTTATGGAGGGAAAAAATATCCCCATACTTAAAAGGCTGACTGACACAAAAGGATCACTTTGAATTTAAGGCCAGCCCCAGCTACATATTGAGACCGTATCTCAAAAAACAAAAAAACACACATTTTGTTAACTTCTTCCTTGAATTTTTTTTTTAATTTTTCAGTTTCTTCCTCCTTTTGTCCATGGCATCACTGCAACTGTGTATGTTCTACTGTGCTTGCAATGGCCCTTTACCACACTTAAAGACTTGCAGGGAGTTCATATGGAGAAGTCACACACTCTTAAGAAAAACACAAGCTACAGCTCAGTGGGGGAAATAAGCACCCTACAAAAACAAATAAAAGACTTAACTATTTAGATATGAACCTGCTTTGTTTTAAAATCAGGTAAAAATGCCAGGTATGGGATAAGTTTGCCCACTGTCCCTACCTGGCCAAATGTCATCTTGTTTATTTTTTTTATTTTTTTATTTTTTGTCATCTTGTTTATATCAACTATCCACATGACTGATATGGAACCACCAGCTTAGAGGCTCTCAGTGGCCAATGCATGTGGCATTGTTTGTGTAACTTGCATAAGGTCTTGGGTTCAACATACAGCACCACAGAAAAAATTTTTTTAAAAATTATTGAAAAATAGTATTTAGGGCTGGAGAGAGAGCTTGGTACCATAAGTGCCTGCCTGGCAAGCACAAGGTCCCCAGTTTGATCCCTGGTACCTCATGACATGCTGACCCTGGAATGCCAGGTGTGCAGTGCCACACATCTGTAATCCCAGCACATCTGTAATCCCAGCACTAGAGGCTGAGGCAGTAGGATCACTGTGAGTCCAAACTGCATAGTGAGACCCTGTACCAGAAAATAAGAAAGTGTTTATACATGCATGAAAACAATTTGGAAAGGTAAATGATGTTCACAGTGGTTAGCTCTGGGTGGTAAAATTACTAATGTTTCTAATCTTCTTGCTTACTATCTTAATTTTTCCAGAAAACAAAGACATGTTGCTTTTGTCATAAGAAAACTGGTTTTAGTGCTGAGGATTTAGTGGTAGAATGCTTACGAGGCATGCACAATTCTCTCAGTTCAATCCCCAACACCACAAAAAAAAAAAAAAAAAATTAAAAAAAGGAAAGAATTACTTTCTATTAACACAATTCTCTATACAAGCAAGGGCAAGATGGTGAAATTTTTTTATTTTTTCCAGCACTGGGGATTAAACTCAAGACCTTATACTTGCCAGGAAGGTACTTATACCACTCAGCAAACTTCCTGAGCCTAAGAGTAAAAATTAGGGTTTGAATAACTGCTATTCAAACAAAATGGTTCACAATCAAATAGGTCACAACCACACCAGAAGAAAATGTTTCCATTGGGACCATGTAATGGAGCTAAGGTTAAGTCAATCTTTCAAAAACTCAGTTCCATCTTTTTCTTTTTTTGGTCTGAGACAGGGTCTCGATATGCAATTCTGGGTGGGCTTTGACCTCACTTTGTACCCCAGGGTGGTCTCTAACTCACGATCCTCCTGCCTCAACCTCCCTATTTACAGGTGTACACCACATCAGGCTCTCATAATCTGTTTAAAAATGAACTTGCCTGGTTTGTTTCCTGTGCGGTTATATGGCTAGTGGCTTGTACTCAGCAGCCTAAGGGTCTTGATCTTCATAGGCAACCTTCACTATAGCCTTCCCAGAGCAGCCAACTGCTGGTTACACTGCTATGACCTGTTACCTCCTACAGACACATCCTGACTTACCTCCACACTCATGGGAGGAATCCAGCATCTGATGGAATGTCACAAAAAATCTACCACTCAGAAAAATGACCTTAAAGCACAATGAAACTTACATCACTGATGTCTGTGTCCACTCTACTTGTCTCTTTACTTGCAAAGGTGTACAATTCAAGCACTTGGTGTGAAGAGGCTCTTGTGAGAGGATAGTGAGTAGCCAAAAACCTTTAGTTCAAACATCTACATCATTGCCTGGCAAGCTCAGGGTCTCAAGTTCAATCCCGGGTTCCGCCAAAAAAAAAAAAAAAAAAAAAAAAAAACTACATCAGAGAAATCTCTCATTACCTTCAGCACTACAAACACATTACAGTAAGTTCCACTAAAAGGTTAAGTAAATAAAGGTTTCTGTTCATGCACCTTTTAATTCAGAACTATGGAAGATTTTTTTCACTGCTCAGGAAAAGATATCACTTAGGATAACCCAAAATGGTGTGTTAGGAACTCAAGCTAGGAACTGTCCCCAACCTGTGTTTGTTTTTTCAGTTAAGGTCTTACTGAAGCTGCCTAGATTGGTAGCCTCAAAGTTGCCAATCCTGCCCCTGCATCCAGAGTAGCTAGGATTACAGGTGTGCACCATCATACCTCACATGTGGCTCCAAACTAGTGCCCTGAAATACTTATCAGTATATTCTACTCAACAAATTGTTTTCTTTCTCAGCCTTTGCGGGAAGCTAAATAAGTTTCTTATTTCTGTGACCCATTTGATGGTGCATCCCACAATTTACATTTTAGCTTTTCTTTTTCTTTCTTTTTTTTTTTTTTTTCTTCTTTTTGATACAGGGTCTTATCGTGCAGTTCAGGGTGGCCTTCAGCTCGCTCTGTACCCCAGGCCGGTTTGGAACTTGCAACAATCCTCCTGCCTCAGCCTCCCAAGTGCTGGGATTACAGGCATGTGCTGTTCTCCACCCAGTTTACATTTAGGTCTCTTAAATTCCCATTTAGAAAGAGGGACAGACAAGAAAACTGAGAAGCTGAGGTTGCTGTCCTACTAAAATAATTTTTTTACAAAATGCAAAAGAAAAAAATCACCTTCGACCTCACCAAAATATATTTCCAGTTACTATGCAAAAGTAACATCAACTGTTATTTATAGTCAACACGGTACATTATAAAGTTTAAAGCCTTTGTCAGTTACTATCTTGGAAAACAAATGCTTGGGTCCAGGAATGTAGCTCAGGGGTACAGCGCCTGACTGGCAAGTACAAGGTCCTGAGTTCGATTCCCAATACCAAAAAAAAAAAAAAAAAGCAATAAGGTAAATTAACATTGGATTACAAATGTTGCCAGAACTGCCTTGGAAACATGATTAGGCTGTACAAAGACATCACAAATTCAACAACATCCGGTGCAGACAAAGCCTATTCTATGGCTTTGAAAACTGTACTGTTGGGACACTGATGTCGGGCAAGGAGCAAATTACCAGCTGCTAATTTTCTGCTCTGCTTTCACGTACGTCAGTGCCAAGAGCATCAACTGAGTCTTTTCGGACGGAAGACATGAACATAACCAGGGCACAAAGCATCAAACGTAACGTCAAATAATCTTGACGGGCGACTGGTGTTGCCTTCCTGCTAGCCCCAGCAGACCCCCTGTTAAGTTCTCGCCCCCAAAGCAGCAGGAGTTTCAGGTTCCTCAGGACGATCACTGGGCTCCGGTACTTCTCCCAAAACTTGTCTCAACCACTCGTCTACTTGGCTTTCCTCTCGGAGGTAGCACCAGATGACCACTGCCATAAGAGAGAAGCTGAGGGGCAGCACTTTCCACCAGGGCCGCTGTTCCCCCTTTCCAAGAGAATGTTGAACCGACCAGCGAGAAGGGTTGGCTTTGCTGGAGGAAAACTGAATGGGGCGGTCGTGGTCTTCCTCCTCCTCAACCGGAGGCTGGCCCCGAGCCGGGCCACTAGGCGGTAGATGTAGGCTTCGCGAAGCCCAGCCCACAAGCCTCAACGCACGAGCAGCCCTAGAAAAGGGAAGGTAGTGAGCGCTCCTCCCGCCCGCTCTCTCCCACCCGCTTTTTTCCGCCCGATGCCTCCCACCCTCAACCTTCCTAGAGCTCGTTTGGCTCACCGGGCCGACCGAGGACACAAAACTAAGATCATCTTGCCCTCAGCTCGGAGCTCGGCGTGCAGCAGCGCGTCACTTCCGTCGCACAGAACCGGAAGTTAGACGCCATACCAGCCTCTACTCACGACTACAAAACGTGAGTCTAGTAGCGCATAGGAAATTACGTAAGACTTCTAAACGCGCTTCCGTCGCAGGGCCTGCCCTAGCCCCATCAGAGCATGCCGGGAAATGTGGTCTTCTATATCCCACCCTAGAGAAACAATCGCTGCGTTATCAGACGAGGTTGGCCCAGAGCGGCCCACAATAGCCTATGGGCCTACGGGGTGAGCGCCTCATGCCCGCCTTCCCGTGGCCTTGGGAATGGATGCTCTTCTGTGTCCTCTTCCCAGTACCATCAACCTCTGTGGGACGTCGTCTGGATCTCCAAGAAGCGTGATTTTTGCACTTGACTGGGGCCGGGTCTCTGCACGTGGCTTCCTGCCCAGCCCATAATGCCAGTTGCCCGAAGGCCGGGCCATGTTTCGGCAAGCTTTGAAACTGTCCTTTCTGGGCTGAGGCCGCTGCATGCTGAGAAGACTTGGCATCCACTTGCGCTGTCTCTGGTGCTCAAAAGCCTATACTCTTGGGGTGGATAGGCAGGTACCGTCCACAGACTGCTTGGTCTGTCCAGATATATGACAGCCTCTGGGAGATGCACCACAGAGGTTCGGGTGCCTGGCGACTGTGTTCTGAATGGGAGCTGTGATTTGGTACCATTTCATTTTTAGAATCAGCCGTACTCAATATGGTCTTATTGTAGTAGCCACCTATACGCAGTGAAATCGATTAAAACCCTTAATGGCTGAACTCCAGTTAAAATTCCTAACAAAGGAATTCCAGTTAAAGGCATCATACTCTTAGTATGCAATCATAAAACAGCAACCGATCTTTTGATATAGGGCCCATTCCTTCCTTCCAGAGTCCCGATCCATCTTCTTTAAAGGATAGGTATAACAGGATGAGGTGGTGCGCCTTGTAATCCTAGCACTTGGGAAACTGATGCACAAGGATCACCGTAAGTTCAAGGCTATCTTGAACTACACAGTGAGACTCTGTCTCAAAACAAAACAGGTATAGAGCTCTTTATCACCTTCCTAAAACAAAAGGCCTGAAGAAACTGTCTTGTCAAAATTGCAACGGTGAACAATTCAGTACTGTACCTGCTACAGGTGCTCCCTGAAGATCGGTAAGGTGCTAAATGATCTGGGAAAGGCATGCTTTAGATAATCACATTTGCTACCTAGACTTCTTTTTTAAAATATCCTCAAACCCTCATGAAAACCCCAGGCTGTCCTTTATACACTTTATATCTGGAAAAACTGAAACTGTCCTGTGTCTTTGGGTAGCATATCTTGATCTAGATAAACTTTCCTCTTTTCTTTCTTTCTTTTTTTAAATGTATTTAATACAGGGTCTCACTACACAGATCAGAACTTTCCTCTTTTCTATACTCCTTGATTAATTCTTTTACAAGCTTGTCCTTTGAATGCCATCTCACGTGGCACTGATGTGTACTTATGTCACATAAAAACTATAGTTCAGGGCTGGGGATAGAGCTCAGTGGCATGCCACAGCACCTGCTTGGCAAGTGCAAGGTCATGAGTTTGATTCTTGGTACAGAAAAAACTATAGTTCATCCTGTCATACAAACCAAACACAACTGGGCTTACCACAGACAGTACTTTTTTTTTTTTTTTTTTTTTTTTGTTTTAAACAATTTATTTAACTGAAATGGACTTAAGTTTGTTTCTGAAGTGACTTCCATTTATTTTGATACATCTTTTCCCCATGATGATTTACAGGATCTTCAAGCCAATATAAATACTTTATAAATATTTGAATTTTTGGGTATACACCTGCGCAATACCTCAGCAGTATCTTTCAGCAAGAAAATACTGAAGAGTAAAGGCTAGACACAATTACTGGGTACAGTGAAAATCTGCTGCAAATATTTCTGAGGTAAGAAGGCACCACATACCTGTTCAACTAAGAAAACCACCCTTACAACACAGGATGATTTTAATTTTACATAGGACCTAGAACACTTAAGCTGCCAATTAGGTGCTGAATGGCAGAGCAACGTCCCCAGTTTATGCCATGAATTCATAGGGAATGGGTTCCAACAACTCGGGTTCCTTTCCATTGGTCCTCACAAAGTGTGCTTCTCTGGGAGGGGCAGGCTGGCGTTTCAGCTGAACCCAGGTACCTTTCTCTTTGGCTTCCTTCTTTTTCTGATCATTTTCCTTGACACGTTTCAGGAAGCTATCACGACTTTCTGAGTGTTTAATATGCTCGATACGCACATTAATCCTCTTGGCAAGTATCTTGCCCTTAACTTGCTTGTTTACAACAATGCCAACAGCATGCTGGGTAACGTTGTAGACTCTTCCCGTTTTGCCATGGTAACATTTGTGAGGCATTCCTTTTTGCACAGTACCCATTCCCTTGATGTCTACAATATCACCCTTTTTGTAGATTCGCATGTATGTAGCCAAAGGAACAACCCCATGTTTTCTAAAAGGCCTGGAAAACATATACCGGGTTCCCCTCCTCTTGCCCTTTGTGTTAGTCATTTTGGCAAATTACTGGAAGATGGCGGTTCCGCCACAGACAGTACTTTAGACCAAATACAAAAAGTAAAAATGCCACTATTACTAGAGTTCTGGGCTATAATGGACTCTTAGAGGTGCTTTCAAGTCCTAGTAATCCTGAATAAAGAATTGGTGGGTCAAGCAAGACAACCACAAAAAGTACTGTAGGGAGGTTTTGCATTGATTAAAGGTATTAAAGATAGGAAAAGAAGTATACTCCACAGGGTGAGAGTACGCCACTGGGGAAGTGAGAATGTGGTGGCCCAGAGCTTAAAGGTCACTTCTTTTGTATGTCCCCTGCCCCTCAGGCTGCCTTCAGATTGAAGCCATCCCATCAGAAACCTGCTTGATTTCTGGAAAGAATAATTGAAGACCAAATTTTATAATCACAGGTTCAGGTCTTAGAACTATTTTTAATTTTTAAGCCAGGGGGCCGGGGAGATGGTTCAGTAGAATAAGCGCTTGCCTGGCAAGCACAAGGAACTGAGTTCAATCCCTGGTTCCAAAAAAAAAATTAATCCAGGAGTGGTGACACACACCTGTAATCCCAGGTGAGGCTACAAAGTGAGCTCAAAACCAGCCTGAACTGCATAGGGAGACCCTGTCTTGAAAAATCAAATAAATAAATAAATACTTTAATTGTTTGGTACCAATCTCAGGATGTTGCTCTTGCCAGGCAGGTACTTATGCTACTGAGCTATCTCCCTGGCAGAATTATTTTTCTGCCTAAATCCTGAACCTCACTGATTGACAGGTAACACTTACTTGCCAGCCAGTTTGTCACACCCTACTGTTGTTTCTTACCCCTTCTCTTTCACATGGGGCAGATAACTACAGGATCCAGAAACCTTGGACTTCTTTTTCCTCAAATGAAATCTGGTGCTTTTTTTTTTTTTCAAAAATTAGGGAAGGGGCCAGAGAGATGGCTCAGTGGAATAAGCACTTCCTTGGCAAGCGCAAGCACCTGAATTCAATCCCTGGTTCCAAAAAAAAAAAAAAAAAATTAGGGAATGGTGCCTGACAGTTCTAGAGAATGGAAAGGGAGAGGTCTAGACTACAAGGTGCCTCTTTGGGGAGAACTGGTGGTGATGTAGACACTGTCTGTTTGCTTGTTTTGTTTGTCATTTTGAAACAGGGTCTTACACTGTAGTGCAGGCTGGCCTTGAACTGACTTTGTAGCCCAGGCTGGCCTTAAACTCACTACCATCCTACTGCCTCAGCCTCCCAAGTGTTGGGATTATAGGCCTGTGCCACCATGCCCAGTAATCTGTGAATTTTTTTTTCTTTTTAATTTGAGAAGTTTTTGGGTTTGTTTTATTTTGTTGTGCTGTGGGGCTTTTTTGGTCCTACTTCATTCTGCCTTAAGGGCAGGTTTGGTGCAGCTTCTACAGCTAGGAATCGAACCACGGTTGTATGGGCCTGACTGTGTTTGCCTAAGCGGCGCTTTAAACAACTGAGCTATCCAGCAAAGCCCCCGAACTGTGAAAATTTTAATTTGATTTAGAAAATAAAACATGTAAATTTCTTGCACAAATTTCAAGTTTTTATTGGTGCATTTTAGAAATACATAATGATAATATTATAGATAGTTAAATTAGGTAGAAATATAGTCGACAAACAGGCCTTCAAGGGAGTCACTGCAAACGATTAGAATGGCCCTTGTTGCCTTTGCTACCTTCCACCCCCCATCAACTTGCTTATCTGCTGTGTGTGTGCCACCCTGCCTTGGAGCCAGCTGACTGAAACCTCCACAAACTAAGCTAAATGAACTTTTCCCCATTTAAAAAAAAAAATGAGACTGCATCAAAACTGGCTAGAGAAGCATCTGAAGATTAAAGTCACAATGGCTAGTTGTACCTAGGTGCCCAAGGCATAAAAAGAGGCTTAGAATTATTGTTATCACACTTTTGAGATTTCCCATTATCTCATTAAGGATGTGCCATACTCTTCCCACCTACTAAGTCTAAGACTGCTAAAACTAACTGCAAGACCAAGACTATAGATTATCTACCAAGGTTAATGATGTCACCAAAGTACCCTTCCTTGCTACCATTAGATCAATATTACCCTAAGCGACGATACCTGAAATCTTGTTGGTTGATCATAATTTTGACCCATGTTGTACCCACCTCATGATTTTACTCTATAAAACTTCCTTTGATGAGATCAGGTGCATTCAGGGTGGTATGGCCATAGACAAAACTTGCTTTAAGAGGAAGTTGAGGGGCTGGAGAGATGGCTCAGTGGTCTAAAGCACCTACTTGAAACAAGCTTGGCAAAGCACAGGGACTGCGGTTCAATCCCCAGCACCACATGCCAGCCAGACCCGCCCCCTGGTGGGCTGAGCTGGCCACACACACACA